CTTGAGCCCAGGAGTTGGAGGTTGCTGTGAGCTGTGATGGCACAGCACTCTACCCAGGGTGAAAGCTTGAGGCTCTTGTTTAAAAAAAAAAAAAAAACCCAAAAATGATGCTGGAGTTATTAGACTTTCACTGGCAAAAAAGAAACAATCAGAAATTGCACATTTTTATAAAAATTAATTAAAAATGGATCATAGACCGAAATATAAAATGTAAAGCTATAATCCTTTTAGAAAAAAAATGGGAGAAAATCTTGGGATCTAGGGCTGGGCAAAACATTCTTCACATCAAAAGCATAAAAGGAAATCTTTGTCAATTGGATTTCATCAAAATTAAAAACTTTTAATCTGTGAAAAACCCTATCAAGAGGTTGAAAAGACAAGTTACAGACTGAGAGAAAATATTTGTAAACCACATATCTGACAATAGACTAATGTCTAGGATACTCAAAGAGCTCTCAAAACTCAACAGTAAACAAAACCAAAACAGTCCAGCTAGAAAGTGGGCAAAAAACACCAACAGACATTTTTCCAAAGAGGATATACAGATAGCAAATAAACAAATAAAAAGTTGTTCAACCCCTGTAACTGTTGGGGAAATGCAAATTAAAGCTGCAATAAGATATTACTCCAAATCTATCAGAAAAGCTAAAAAAAAAAATAGTGAGAATATCAAATGCTGGTGAGAGTGGAGAAACTTGTTCATTATTGGCAAGAATACTATTCAGCAATATAAAGCAACAAACTGTCGATATACACAAGTTGGATGATTCTCTAGAGAATTACATTGAGTAAAAGAAACCAATCACAAACATACATACTATATGATTTCATTTATACATAATTCTTAAAGTGGTAAATTTATAGAAATGGAGAACAGATTAGTGTTGCCAGGAGTTAGGGGAGGTCGGGAGGGAAGCGGATATGGCTATAAAATGGAAATAAGGAGGCATCTTGGTCCTATTTTGACCGTTATTAATGTCAACACCCTGCTTGCGATACTGTGCCATTTCATTACATTTGTTTTGCAAGATGTCACCATCTTTTGTATTATTTCTCACAGCTGCAATGTGAATCCCTAATTACCTCAAATGAAAACTTTAATAAACAAAGGCTAAATTAATGAAAGGGAAAAATACAAGGGAATTATAGGGCATGATGAAATGAAGGCTGTGATGAAATTAAACAAGGACACGTGACATAGACGTGGGAGGGGGGCTTCTCAGAGAAGGTGGACATGGAATGCCCACTGAGAAATGGATGACATTCCAGGGTGAGAAGGGACCAGCTGGGCCAAGAGCCTGGGAAAAGCTTGGAAAGTAGCAAGTCCAAAGATCACTGGGGGAGGTAGGGTTGGGGATGAGATTTGGGGTTTGAGAGGAATAGAAAGGAGGAATGTGGAGTGCGAGGGAACAGCATTTTATTTGAACAAAGGCTTTGAATGCAAAGCAGATGGGAAGGTAGTGATGTGGGCATTTCTTCCAGGTCAGTCTGCTTCTGTGCCCTGTCTGGCTCTGCTTGGCCCCTATAGCATCTGTTTCTGGGACCCCTGGGTTTGGCAACCCCAGGAAAGTTCCCCTACCACACACTCAGTCGCTGCCCTCCATCTCTCCTGTGGGGCCTTTTCCTTTGCTCATCAGGCCCTTAGTTTGAGGACCTTCTGAGCCATCAGAGTTGAGAGTCAAACTTGATTATGTTTTAAATCTCTGGCTGTATAGACTAGAAATTCATTTCAACTATTATCTTTCAAAAGAAGATAATTTATATAATAGAAAGTTGTTGTGTAAGAACTTCTGTTGCCAATGACAGAAACCCAATTCAAATTGGCTTAAGGGGAAACAACTTAAAAAAAAATTGGGGCTCCATGATTGAAAAGTCAGGGATAATGACTTTGGCTTGGGGATACAGCTTCTTTCCATGGTTCTGCTTCCTTTTGGGTCAGCTTCATTCTCAGGCTCTTCATCAATTCCTGGCTCAAGTGCTACCAGCTTAGCACCCCAGAAGAAAGATGGACTCTACTTCCCAATAGCTTCAGCCAAAGTCCTGAAAGTGAGTGGATGAACCTGATGTGGATCACATGCTTGTCCCTGAACCAATCACTGTGGGCAGGAGGGAGGCGACACTCTCATTGGTCAGGCACAGGTCATGTGCTCACTGGGAGAGGTTGGAGTGGAGCCAGCCCATATGGCCTGAGAGGGAAGGAGGAGTGATTCCTTAACAGAATCAGGGTGATGTTACCAGATGGGAGAATGGATGCTGTCCAGGCAAAACCAACAAACTTGCAGAATGTCACACACAGAAAGCTTGCTTCTTCACGCTCCATCCCCAAGTTCTGAGTTTCCACCATGCTAGTACAAAGAGATATCCCAGATTGAACTAGAATCTAGAATCTTCATGTCATTGCTCAGCAGAAAGTATCTGATTGGACCATCTTTGGCCAGATGTCCAGCCTGTGTCCACTTCCTCTTTGAACAGGGGATAGGTCACATACTGCATCCTTTGGTGAACAGAGACATTCTTAGAGGGGCCAAGCCAACAACCCAATACTGTCTATTACAGATATTCAAGGCTTCTGGAAGTAATAAATTAACATCTTATCCTGAAAATATCAGGGGAATCTATTAATTGGTTTGATGTTAAGGGAAATATATGATTATTGAGGATCCCTCTGGAAAAGGCTGAATCCTCAGTGTAAGGAGAGGATGAACACAGAATGTGGCTCAATGATCAAGACCGGTTTATTTGGATAAATCGTGGGAGGGGCCATTGGCCTGGGTGGAGAAGCAGCTTCCCTACATCTAGCAGCTTATATAGCCTAATGAAGTGGGGAAGCCTATTTGGGGCTTAGTTTAGCCTGTTGAGGTGGTAAACCCTGTTTGGGGTTTAGTTTAGCCTATTGAGGTGGGAAAGCCTATTTGGGGCAGAGTTTGGACCTGTCTCCAAGAAACAGCCCTTCCCCTATAAATTGAAACTCAAATACTGTGAAGAGGGCCCCATGTTGGGCACCACTCTGTCCTTAAGTCACCATCTCACAGTAGTCTGCCTCCTTCACTCAGATTTTCCCCTGATTTCCTAGGGTGCTTGGAGGCTGCCAAAGAGAAGAGCAGTGGGCGTGGGCACTGGCTGACCATGGGGAATGTGGGGGATGTTCAGAGACCAGCTGGGTGGGTGGGTTGGCAGCAGGGGAAGCCTGGAGCATTCAAACAGTGCAGGGTTGGAACAGCAAAACTGAGGCTTAATGTGGAGGAAACCAGTCACCAAGGCACATATGGAAAACAGAGACCCAGAAACCGTGCCAGATGTGCTGGAGCCAGGGAGGTATACCACTCCTGGAACCAAATGTGACTGCACAGTCTTGGTCAGGGGAATCAGGCTGGAGGCCATTTCTAGAACTGGAACCAAGTCATCTGAGTCTCCTAGATCTATTCCCACCTTTCCTGTCTTTCCAGGTATGCATAGGACACATTCTCCAGTATTGGGCTGGGCTTAGCGGCACACTGGTGTGTGTAGGGGAACAGCCAAGAATCCCAGCTGTGGGGAGAGAGAGGTGTGGAGGAGAGAGCCAAGTGGGTCATGGTAACTCCATCTGTCACAGGAAGAGCTTGCAAAGCAAGTCATATGGACAGAGGTGGTCAGAATGTCAACAGTAACAGTAGTAATGACAGCAGGCCTACCATGTGCCGAACACTGTGCTAAGATGTTAATGGATCATCTCTTTTCACCCTTGGAACAAGCCTGTGAGGTCGTGCTGTTGGTGTGTCCATTAAAATGGACATGAAGAATGTGAGCTGAGAGGTTACATGTCTTGCCTGGGATCACATGTAAACAAAGATAATTCAGCTCTCTTGAAAAGCAAGCTTTAGGGTATATATATGGTCCTCGTCTCCTTCTCCATTGTCAATTCCAGCTAATCCAATGCAGCCGCCCTCCAGCATCCCAAGCCTCTAGCAGTCTTGTGGCCCTATGCCTTGGCACACAGCATTCCCCTCTCCTGGGATGCCCTTGCCCCTGGCCAGTCCCAGTGATCCCACCAGACTCAGGGTGAAAACTACTGTACTCCAGGTAACCTACGCTGATTCCAGCTCCGTGGATGGAATGATGTGCTCTCCTCATGTTGCCCCGTAATGAGCTCTTTCACCATTGTCACAATGTGTACATCAGCCTGTCCTCCAGAACAGACTGTGAGTGGGGCAGGGACCAAGTCTGTTCTTCTCTGTGGCAGGACCTGCTCGGCAGCTGAGCAGGGATGCATGTCATTGTTTCCCGTCCTCCCCCTCACTGTGGCATCTCTTTTCTGATCTCTTGGCAGCCTGGCGTGGGGCTCTTTTACCTGCTGCATGGCAGCCTCTGTCACCACACTCAACTCCTACACCAAGACGGTCATCGAGTTCCGGCACAAGCGCAAGGTCTTTGAGCAGGGCTACCGAGAAGAGCCGACCTTCATAGACCCCGAGGCCATCAAGTACTTCCGGGAGAGGTCAGTGCACATGGGGTGCCAATACTGGAAACCTAAAGTGCAGGGCCTGGCCTCAGTGGCCACAGGGCCACAGGGCCCCAGTCAAAAACTGGAGCGAGTGGTCTGACAGGTATTCTGGGAGGCCATGGGGCAGAAGAGGCAAGTGGAACACAGCAGAGTTTGGACCCCACTGCGTTAGAATTTCTGGGATGTTTTAACATTTTATAGGGCATAAGGTTGCCTTGGGCTTACATGTTCACAGCATGAGAAACCCAGAAGGGAACCAAGTTGAGTGTTTGCCATTAGACTCCATGCTCCTTAGAACCATGATAAAGAGGCTGAGCAAGGTTTCTTTCTTGGGCTGTCATGCACTGAAAACAGGATCTAGCTGTGGGATTGGTAATGGCTGTTGGAGGAGATGGTTCCTCAGGGTCAGGGACTATATCTGATCACGTGTGTCTTTGGAGTCCAGCTGGGAACAGAAGTAGCAATAAGCAGTGGATAGATGGATGGATGGATGGATAGATGGGTGGATGGATGGGTGGATGGGTGGATGGATGGATGGATGAGTGGATGGATGGATGGATGAGTGGATGAGTGGGTGGGTGGATAGAAGGGTAGGTGAGTGAATAGATGGGTGGGTGGATGAATGGATGGATGGATGATTGGGTGGGTTGATAAGTAGGTGGATAAGTTAACAGAGGGATGTAAGAAGGGAGAGAAGGATGAGTGGAAAGACAGACAGACAGATGGTTGGCTGGACAGATTTCAGAAGCTGGAGATATTCTTAGGTGGAATTCCTCCCAGATACCTTCTGATGAAGCCACTTGGAAATCTCTGAAATCTGGGATTTCTGACCCTGCCACTGGAGAGTGAGCTTGCTGTTCCCATTGTGTCCACCTCACTTCCTATGCTTTTTTCCTCAGCTCCACTCAAAGCCACTCCTCTAGGCCAGCTACTCCTACTGGTCCCCATTCTAGCACCAACCTACATGCCATTAAGCAGCTCAGGTCTCTTCTAGGCTGTGAGGAGTGCTGCCCTCCTCAGTCTGTCCTGCATCCCTGGCTTGATTGTGGCTGTGTGTATGGCAGGCCCTGCACAATCTCAGCCTGTGCCAGTCTCTCTGGCCTCCATCTGGCTCCCAGTTCTGTCCCAGTTGGTGATAGCAGAGATGGAACAGGGCTGTTCTGATTCATACCTTGGCCACATCCTTACCTGGTCCCCTGTACCTGTAAGGCCCAAGAATGACCAATGAGCAATCTCTTCTTGAGAGAGGGGAGATAGAACATCAGCCCTAAGCCAGAGTCAGCCATCATAATAGCCATCATAATAGCCATCATCTGCAGCACCAGTTGTGAGCCAGGCCCTGAGCCCTAGGCATTAAATTTCATCCTTAGGACCTCCCTATGCAATTAGTACTATTAGCCCCACTTTGCAGATGAGGAAAACAGGTTCAGAGAAACCAAGACACTCACTTAAGTTTGAGCAGTGATGGAGGAAGAATTGGGCCCAGGTGTGTGTGGCTCTCTGCAAGACTTAAGAAAGTACCCCCAAGGATGGGGCCACCCAGGTGGAGCCAGGATCAAACCCAGGCAGCAGCTTGAATCCATGCAGGTGCTGTTATGCCCTGGACAGATCTGTACTGCTGTTGTGGTTTGTGTGCAGGCCAGATGCTGCTTCCTGCAGGTCCAGGTGAGGGCTTACCAGAATGCCCAAGAGTTCGATACTGTCTGGAGCTGCACGTGTTGGCAATTGGAAACCCCAGCTTCCCACCCCTGTGTGAGACAGTGCTGGGGCATGCTCTGCAGTGCCTCCCAGAGGTCCCCACAGGGATGGGGCCCCAGGTGCCCTTGAAGGACCTGCCTGTCAACACAGCCTTTCCTAGCCCCTTCCTTCCCTGTCTCACTCTCCTTCCCCCCTCATATATCCTGGCACCTCCCCCCAAATGAACTACTTTCACCCAAATTCTTATCACAGGGTCTACTTCCGGGGGCTGAAAAAAGATATGCTGTGATGGTTTTCAATGGCAGGGAAAGACCATGGGGGCCATGGGGAGCCACATGGGCTCCCTCTCTGTCACAGAGCCCTCTCTTAAACTGCTGTGATGTCTTTCCACTGCCAAGTGGACCTCCTTTCCATCCCTTGAACACTCCCTGCTCATCTCCACCCCAGGCCCTTTGTCTGTACCATGCCCCCAGCCTGGAATGTTACTGTGAGGCCTTCCCTCGTCACATGGTCTAAATGGGCACACCCACATGCCCTGTCCTGCTTGCACTTTATCCTGCTGCTATTGTTCATAGCACCTGATGCTACCGCCAATATTTTCTTTCTTTGCTTGCTACTCTACAGACTGCTATTTCATTCCCCACTGTATCCTTGGCACCTAAGACAGGACTAGGCACCTAATATGTGCTATTCAAGGTTTTCTGGTGGCTGGATTCTTCTCTTTGGAGGCCTCAGCCCAGACTCCCTCATGCCCTTTTAGCTGCAGCCCCACAACCATCTCGCTGATTCAGTGTGCCAGTGCCTCCACGCCCAAGCCCTGGGAGAGAGGATGTGATTGCCCAGCAGGAGTCCGTGTTCAGTCCCAGGCCAGTCAGTGGTGGCCAGGGAGGTCAAGCTGACCTGGTGCACAACTCACCTTGCCCCAGGCTGTGGAAGGTGGCATGCCCAGCATGGCACAGCGCCCAGTTTAGGCACATAAACAGTCTAATGTCTAAAACTGCCCCATTAACGCTGCAGCCAGTTGTCACCTCGGCTATGGGAGATCTGCCTGCTGGGGCATCAGAAGATAAAATTGCACCTTGTTCTGCCGAGGCAGAGGACAGGACCTCTCTGAACCCCATCAGCAAAAAGCTGCTGATTGCTGGTGCCTCACTTCCAATGGTCCCTAGCACTCAGGCCCAGGACGAATGGTTGCCAACATATGTGTAGAATATCACTTTACACATTCATAACTTGAACATTATGCAGAGGTTCATCAAATTTTATTTCCCTTTCTCTCTGAGGAGAGCATTCTAGCTTAGCTGGGCTGTTCTATTTCTTTGGCTTTTTTTTTTTTTTTTTGGTTCCTCCCCTACAAAGAGCTCACAGTACATAGATCTCTGCACAGGTTTGCAGGGGGGGTGTCTGAAGCAGGGCTGAAATCCTGCAGTGGTCAGTGTCCCTGAAGCCACAGCTAGGGACATCAGATAAAGAAGTCCACAGCCTTACCTGCTAATGTGTCCCCCTTCTTGGGGGACAGAGGGTGCTACGGAAAAAGCAGAGATTTGGAATGAGTTTTCTAATTTGTCGCTTTGCTGCTGTGTGACTTGGGGCAAGGCAGTGAGCCCCTCTGAGCTTATTTCTTCTGACCCATGATGGGAGCTTCCAAAGCTTTCCATGTCCTAGGAAGGCTGAAATTTAATGACCCATGTGACATGCTGGGACAGTGCCTGGCATATGAAGGGCTTTATATGTGAGTTTCCATCTCTTCTGCTCTAAGGCCCTTGCTGGACCTCAGCGTGAAGCATGAGCTTGGCCATGATGAAGAGTTGCTGCTAATAATCATTTAATTGTATCTTACTCTGTATCAGGCCCTCCTCTAAGTGCCTATTGATTTCCCCAACATCTATGTGGGGTATAGGTATTATTATCATCCCCATTTTGCAGATGTAAAGTCGAGGCACAGAGAGGGAAAGTGACTTGTCCAAGGTCACACTGCTGGTAAGTGCCAAAGCTGAGATTTGAACCCTGGCCACATATTCAATCCTCCCCCAGCCTCTGTGCTGTGCAATTTCTTAGGCCTGTTCAGTAGTCTGTGTCACGCACCAAGGTAGGACCCGGCACATAGGAGAGGGGAGTCCTGTAGCAGAAGAGCTCACTGTGTGAGGGGCAGGCAAGGTGAGAGACCCACTCTAAGTTGTAGGTGTAGGATGGGTGGGGATCTGGGATGACTCACAACCTGGAGTGCATGGTCTCCCAGTGCACTGCCTTTCCTCTCTGCGGGAGAGGCTTTTGTGCAGCCCACTTCATCCAGGCCTCTCACGCTGTCCTCCTGGGAACTGAGGTCAAGGTGGTGCCCTGTGGAGGCTTTTGCCCAGGAAAAGTTTGGATTGTTTCTTCCCTGCCCCGGGTCCTCTTGGATTGTTCTCTGCCAGAGATGACTGCAAGTCTGAGGAGCAGTTCAGTAGATTCTGAATGTTTTTCCAGGCCTTTAAAATGCAGTGGTGTGAGGAAGAAAGGTGTGTGTGCGTGCGTGTGTGTGCATGTGTGTGCATGTATGTGTGCATTTTCCTGCGTGTGCATGTGCTCGTGTGGAAGGGCCAGTATACATCTGTGTCCAGTTTGGGGAAAGGGAGAAACTGCACCACCACCACCCCCGACTCAGAGCACCCTCACCTCTTCCAGCTCTGAGAAACATCCCCAATCACTGTCCCCTTGCCTGCTTTCCCCAAGGTGGGCATCTTAATCGGGCCTCCCAAGGGGAGGGACAGAAGCTGATGAACAAAAGGTAAATATTTGGGGATCAGGGTTTTCTTGAATGCTTAATGTTCAGATCTGGTTTAACAATGTGCAGAAGGAAATGAGACCTGTTGGATTGGACTCCAGAGGGAATTTGGCTGCACTGGGCAAACATCCTCCCCCACTCAGAAAGTGGCGGTCTGTGGAAGACAAGGCCCTGGAGCTTCCGAGGAGGGGCCCTGCTCCTGGGGACAGCTCCTCCGTGGGCTCACACACCTCCCTCTGCAGCACTGGGACTCTGCCCCCTTCCCACATGTCTCACTTCATGAGAGCAGGGAGCTTGGCTTGCTTTGTCTTCCCTCTGTCCCTAGCATCTGAAACCACGAGGGCTCAAGAAACCATGGTATTTATTGGGCTCCATGCCCATAGCTCAGTGAGTAGGGCACCGCCCACAAGCACCAAGGCTGGTAGGTTTGAGCCCGGCCTGGACCTGCCAAACAATAATGACATCTGCAAACAAAAAATAGGCAGGCATTGTGGCAGGCACCTGTAGTCCCCGCTACTCAGGAGGCTGAGGC